TGCTGCTGCTGCTGCTGCTGCTGTTCTCTCCTTGGCTGCATCGGTGGTTTATTAAGAGATATGCGGATGCCGGAGGCTGCAAGCAGACACAGCAAAAGAGAGAAGATGCTGCTCACGATAAACAAAAAGAAAACACAAACAAACCATCCAGGTGTACAGACAGCATACAGTATTTATTAAAAAATCGATAAACTATGAACCGCACAGCAGCAGCAGCAGCTGCTGCTGCTGCTGCTGCTGTTGCACCCATGCAGACTGGATAGCAGCATCACCAAGAGAACTGCAATAAGAAGAGAGAAAAACAGAAAACAAAAAAAACAAAAGAATAGAAACAAACGAAAGACAGAAACAAAAAAAAAGAAAACGAAATACAAAAAAAAGAAGAAATACAGAGTAACAGAAAAAAAAGAAAAATAAACAAAAAGAGAAGAAACGGAAAAAAGGAAATACAAAAAAAAGAAAAAAAAGAAAAAAAAAGGAAAAAGAAAGAAAGAGAAGAAGAAAGAAGCAGAACAGTAACAAAAAGAAATAAAAATAAAATAAAATAAAATAAAAAAATAAAAATAAAAAAGATGAGAGTGTATGATACTGAAAGTTGATCGAGAGGAAAGGACGGAGGCCAAGGCGCTGCAGCTTTCGCTGAAACCCGCACCACTACCAAACACACGCTCTGCTGCTGCTGCTGCTGCTGCTGCTGGCGCTGCTGCTGCTGCTGCTGCTGCTGCTGCTGGTGCTGGTGATGGTGCTGCTGCTCGTAGTGGTGGTGACAGTGCTGATGCTGCTGCTGCTGGAGGTGGTGGTGGTGGTGCTGCTGCTGTTGTTGTTGCAGTTGTTGTTTGTGTTGGTGTTGCTGCTGCTGCTGCTGCTGCTGTTGCTGCTGCTGCTGCTGCATCTCTGTTTTGTGCAGCTTTAGTTAAATCTGCATGTAAACGAGGTGTATATACACCGCAAGAACTATCAACCAGAGCAGGAGATCGAGACAGATTCAAAGGCGTTGAAGCTCCTGCTGCTGCTGCTGTTGCTGGTGCTGCTGCTGCTGCTGCTGCAGCAGCAGCTGAAGGGCTGAAAGAGGAGAGACGGGTGGAGTGGTTGGTGTTGTTGTTGCTGCTGCTGCTGCTGTTGTTGTGTCTCACGACCTGAGCTGCAGCAGGATAGCCTCGCTCTGCTGCTGCTGCTGCTGCTGCTGTTGCTGCTGCTGC